GTCTCATGAGACCAACGAAAATTTACAGCGACATTAAGTGATTTTGTAATCGAATGATTTGCAGTTTGGTCTCAAAACTTGAACGCTACCGTATTATCTTAATTTACAGTTTCCCAACTCATAGTCCCACTAAGTTACTCGTAGACATTTGGTTCTGGAAATAGATCGTTTCAAATCGGTCAAGCCGAACAAATGAGCCATGTTGAAGTGGGACCAGCTGAAGGCAGTCTAATAAACAGACCCATTAAAGACACCCGGAAGGGTTTGTCTGAGGATGTGCTCTTCCACCGAGAACGCGTAACACCAACCGAGATCGGTGAGAATCTTCTTGGACATTGCACAACAGTCAAGATTGTTACCGCCTAACGTACACACTTTCAGCATTTCGTTACACGTGAAACTGAAATATCGAGACTCATAGCAAAACATTCCTATCTTCGATCGATACCTTGCAATTGGCTCTGTTGAATCCGTTTTTGTTTTGAATCACACTGAAGTCAGTCATCATGAGGAGATGTGATCGGCGATATAGTGGCTTGGACGGGATAATTCTCTTTTTAAAGGAAACTAGAGCACGAAAATCTTCACTAGATAAAGTATGCAATCCGAATCGACGAATTACGTTGGGAAAAACTAAAAGAGTTAGTGAAAGTAGTTGTCACTAGCAAAAATACTTGGACGTGAAATTCATTCATCCTCCTTCCCCTTTCCTTGAGTCCGTGAACTACTCGAATAAACTACTGAACAATAACGAGCAAGTACAGACCCTGAATGTGCGAAGAAGTTAGCAATATTGAAATCATATTCCAGGAAGGCTTTTTGGAATATTTCGTAGTCTCTTTTACCCGAATTCAGCGATTCATTGTCTGCATGCAGATACAAGTCTTCAACTTGAGTGTATGCGATTATCATATAACGAAGTAAGTTTTCAGTGAATAGGCCTTTGGCGCTGCTCGATTCATTCAGNTTTATTAATGGCGTTTTTGATGAAAGTTAGTGCTCTAAAGCACAAAGTTCTGTTTTTATCCGACGATGTCTCGCTGTCATAGCCATCACTATGCCATCCATAATCCAGAGCACTTGTCAAATAAGTAGCATTGCGAAATTGATACGCTTGTATAGATTGCGAAAGTTGTTATGTACAAAAAGATATCGAAGAAAATCATACAACGAACGTAAGCCTTTTTGATCGGATTGTAATTGCAGATTGTGACGGCCGGTAGGGTGAGTGAATCTTTGGCGACAAATGTGACCGAGGTTGTTGTGGGTCGCGATAAGAAATCCGCAACCAATATGTTCACTTGCAACGAAAGAAAGACGAGTGCGACGGCCATTACAAGGCCCCAGAATAATTTACCGATTCCTTTGCCTTGATAGAGTCGTAACGGACCGTGGAGTGTGGTGCTATCTAAAAACAATTGTCGCTCTGATGAATTATCAAGTGAAACTCAGTAGATGATAAAAAAANAAAAAAATGAGATGCTATCAGTGAATGGTACACTCGGATCGATAAACAGTCGAAAGTGTTGAATCATTTTTGATGGATTATGGTTGATCGGTGATGTTACATGAGTGAATTGATGGATCACCGCAGTTTTTTGGATTGGGTTGATTGTTTTGTGATGGCTGACAGTTGCAAGGTGCACATGATAAAAGTACACGTTTTAACTTGTTCAAGACGTGAATCATGATTCATGATAGGTGAGTGAATGAAGAACGAGTATCGTACATGAAAAATGCTTGGTTTCGCGTTCGATTGAGTTCACCCCTTCCGTTTGCGCGATACGTCTCAGTTGCTCAACTGGAATCTCAAGAAGATGCTCACTGATGACGCTTGCATGCAAGCGATGATGCGTCGTCATATTACGGCCGTTTTGCACGAAACGTGTCGACGTCGACATTTATCTTGTGATCTGAAATGCTGCTCTATGATGATCACTTAAGATCCTGTACGATGATCCTGTCTCCATAAACTTACACGCTGCCACAGCTCCACCTAAGCAATTTGATAGCATGCAATCAATGCACTCTGCACTTCTATCTCAAAGCAAATTCACATATCACTCACCAACCCCTTGCTTTTTAGCATTGCCCAAAGCATTATGAAATTCCCGAATTTTGAGAGTAAAACTGTTGTTTTCGATGAACCGCTAAGGGAACATACTGCTCATGGCAGCGCAAACGGTAAAAAATCTCATGATGTGTTCGTTTTCAAGGAAACCTTCAGATTTCATCGAGCACAAAAAGCGTTCGTTCGGTATTCTGCTCATCATCAATGCATAAGCACAACGCGATGTTTGATTGAATGCGACG